TCTTTTACATCTTTGGTTAGGTTAATTCCTAAATATTTTATTTTTTGGGAGGTTATTGTGAATGGGGTTGCTCCCTTTATTTCCCTCTCTTCCTGTGCGTTATCAGTGTATAGGAAGGCAACTGATTTTTGTGGGTTTATTTTGTATCCTGCTATTTTGCCGAAGTGACTTACGATTTCTAAAAGTTTGGGGATGGAGTTTTTGGGATCGTGGAGGTATAGTATCATGTCGTCTGCAAAAAGGGATAGTTTCACTTCTTCTTTCCCTATGCGGATCCCTTTAATGTCTTTTTCTTGCCTTATTGCCCTGGCTAAGGGTTCTAGGACTATGTTGAAGAGGAGTGGAGACAGTGGACATCCTTGCCTTGTTCCTGTTTTTAGGAGGATTGGTTGTAGCTTTTCCCCATTAAGTATAATATTGGCTATTGGTCTGTCATAAATGGCTTTTATTGTTTTTAGAAATGTTCCTTCTATTCCTATTTTCTCCAGAGCTTTTAGCATGAATGAATGTTGAATTTTATCAAAGGCCTTTTCTGCATCTGTGGCGATAATCATGTGATTCTTGACCTTGGCTCTGTTGATATGCTGGATTACATTTATTGACTTACGTATGTTAAACCATCCCTGTGTCTCTGGGATGAAGCCTACCTGATCATAGTGTATTATTTTTTTTATGTGTTTCTGGATTCTGTTAGCTAGAATCTTGTTAAGGATCTTTGCATCTGTGTTCATCAAGGAGATTGGCCTGTAATTCTCCTTTTTGGTTGGGTCTTTGCCTGGTTTGGGGATGAGTGTGATATTGGCTTCGTAGAATGAGTTTGGGATAGCTCCCTCCTTCTCTGTTTCTCTGAAGAGCTTGAGGAGTATGGGTATTAGTTCTTCTTTAAAGGTCTTATAGAATTCTGCTGTGAATCCATCTGGTCCTGGGCTTTTTTTTGTTGGAAGACTTTTGATAGCTTCCTGTATCTCATTATAGGATATTGGCTTATTTAATTGGTTAACTTCTTCTTTGCTCAGTTTGGGTAACTTGTATTTCTCTAAAAATGCATCCATTTCCGCCAGATTTTCTTCCTTTAGAGAGTATAGCTTTTGAAAGTAGTCTGTTAGAATTGTTTGGATATCTTGGGTACGTGTTGTGATGTTTCCCGTGGCATCCCTAATCCTATTAATATGGGTTTCCTCTCTTCTTTTTTTAATTAATCTTGCCAACGGGCCATCAATTTTGTTTATTTTTTCAAAGAACCAGCTTTTTGTTTGGTTTATTTTGGTTATGGTTTTCTGATTTTCTAATTGGTTAATCTCTGCTCTCAATTTGGTTATCTGGCTTCGTCTAGTAGCTTTAGGTCCCATTTTTTCTTGTTTTTCTAGCTGTTTTAGTTGCAACATGAGATTATTTACTTGGTCTGTCTCCATTCTCTTGATGTGGGCACTGAGGGCAATAAATTTGCCCCTCAGGACTGCTTTTGCTGTGTCCCACAAGTTTCTTTGTGAGGTGTTTTCATTTTCATTGAGTTCTAGGAAATGCTTTATTTCTTCTCTGATCTCTTCTGTTACCCAGGCCTTGTTAAGGAGTGTGCTGTTCAATTTCCATGTATTAGAGAAATTTCTGCGGTATGCTTTGTTATTGAGAGCTAGCTTGATTCCACTGTGGTCAGATAGGATACAGGGGATTATGTCGATCCCTTTGTATTTGCTTAAGTTCCTTGAATGAACTATGATATGGTCTATTTTGGAGAAAGTTCCATGAGCTGCTGAGAAGAATGTGTACTGTGTTGTTTTAGGGTGAAATACTCGGTAGATGTCAGTTAATTCCGCTTGAAGTATGGCCTCACTTAATTCGGTAGCTTCTTTGCCAATCCTCTGGTTGGTAGACCTGTCCTTTGGTGAGAGTGGCGTGTTAAAGTCTCCTAGTATTATCGTATTGGGATCTATTTTATTCTGTAAGTTTGAGAGCATTTGTTTAACATATCTGGGTGCACCGATATTTGGGGCATATAAGTTGATGATGGTTATATCCTCCTCTTGGATTGTTCCCTTTATTAATATGTAATGTCCGTCCTTGTCTTTCTGTACTGATTTTAATGAAAAGTTTATTTTGTCAGATATCAGGATAGCTACACCTGCTTTCTTATTGGGGGAATTTGATTGGTAGATCCTTTTCCACCCCTTCACTCTGAGTTTGTTTGTATGTTTGGCTGAGAGGTGGGTCTCCTGAAGGCAACAGATGGATGGGTCTTGTTTTCTGATCCAGTCCTCAGTTCGTTTTCTTTTAATTGGCGAATTCAGCCCATTTATATTAAGAGAAAGTATAGAGAGATGCATTGTTGTCCCTGCCATTCCGTTTTCCTAAGTTTTTCTTCTTTCCTTTCCTCCTGTGCTTGCTCAGTTAGACTTTGAGTAATGCCTGTTTGGGGCAGGTCCCAGTTCCTGGTTGCTTTCTTCAGGTTGTGTCCCCCCTCTTAGAATTCTTTGTAATGCTGGCTTAGTGTTTATGTATTCATTTAGTTTTTCTTTGCTATTAAAAGTTTTCAGTTCTCCATCGAATGTGAATGCTAGCTTTGCCGGGTATATCAGTCTGGGTTGGCAGTTATTGGCTCTCAGGGCTCGTATGGTGCTTTCCCAGGCTTTTCTTGCATTCATTGTTTGTGTGGAGAGATCTGCAGTGATTCTAATTTTTTTCCCGTTGTAGTATAGCTCCTTCTTCATTTTTGCTGCATGCAGGATTGTTTCCTTATTATTCAGATCCATCATTGTTACTATTATGTGCCTAGAAGTGTTTCTCCTGGGATCTTGCTTGTTGGGTGTTCGATAAGCTTTTGTGATGTAGTTAAGATGGTCGTTTTTGAGGTGGGGAAAATTTTCATTGACTATCTTGTTAAATAGGTGTTGCATTCCCTTGCTCTGGAATTCCTCACCTTCGTCCACTCCGATTATGCGAAGGTTAAATTTTTTAGCATTATCTGCTTGCTCTTGAATTTCCCTTTGGTTTAATTTGAGTGATTTTTCCATATCTGTCACTTTTTGGTCCAGTTGGTGTATTCTGTCTTCTGTATCTGACACTCTACCTTCCATTTCATTCACTCTGTTGACCGTGGCTTCTATTGTGGTTTGCATGGTGGAAATGGATCCCTTTATGGATTCAATGTTGGTTCTCAGAGTACTGATCTCACCTCTCAATGAGGTGATATCAGTATGCATTACCTCTAATTTGGCGTTTATCTCACTTCTTACTGAGGTTTGTGCAGCTTCTATTTTTGCATCCAATTTTTGTTTGATATCCTGTATATCTTTTGATAGTTCATCCTTGTGCTCTTTCAATTTCTGATCCATTTCTCGCTTTATTTCTTGAGTCATTGCCTCCAGCAACCCTTGGATGTAGTTTTTGTCTTCCATTCCTGCTTTGCTCCCACTGGGGCTCTCCCCTGCGTGGCTGCTGGCTTTTGAGGTGAGCTTGCTGTCCTGGGTAGTGGTAAACCTTGTGATTTTTCTCTGTGATTTTCGCATGGGGGTTCAGGAGACTGCTCTTCAATCTTGTTTTGGTGTGTCTGTCTTTGCTTGGTTGCTGATTCTCTATTGGTAGAGAGAGTCTGTGTCTGATCTGGATTCTGTTGGGAGCCTATTTCCAGCTGCTATTCACTTAGGATTCTCAGCTCTCTGCTGTAGCAATTCCCGCCTTTGGAAGGGTTGAGCAGCCTAGACTGCTTGTGTTTGCTCCTGCGGGTGCTCTTGGGAAGATCAGATGCTCTGGATGCACTCTCCCAAATACTGGAGTCTGCTATGGGCTCCTGATGTGTTTTTGTTTGTTTGTTTTGGGCTGGTTGTGGGCTTGAACTCTAGGTTTGGGTGCTGTCCCTCAGCTCTTCAGCTCAGGGCTGGCACCCTACCATTTGAGCCACAGCCCCACTTCTGACCCTTTTTGCTTTGTTCAGGCGCCGGTCCCCTGGCCTGGTTCCGGCCCCAGCCTGGAGCGCGCTCGTTAGGCCTGTGCTAATGTGTATACCACCTTGGTTATGCAGCCTGGAGGACACAGTTCAAATTTCTTCTACTGTTGGTAGTCTTGACCCAGGGGCACTGTTCCTGGCTTGAGCATTTAAGCTCCCTTCCCGGGGCGCTCTTGCTCTGGCCTGGCCAGCAGAGTGTGCTCCACCGGCTGGTGGGGCTCTCGAACAGTTCCCAGTTTTAGTGGGTCCTGTGGTCCGGGTGTTGGGGTAGGGAGTCTAGGTCAGGGTCTGGGGATTCCCTCCAGCTCTGGTCTCCCTTGATGGATTCCCTGTCCCCTGATGGGTACTCACCCTGTAGGTCGTCAGTTGTTGTTGCAGTCCGTCAGTTGTTGTTGCAGTCCGAGTTCAGTTGGGGTGGTTGCGGGCTGGGTTGGGCGGCCCCCCGCCGGGTCGTTGGGATCGCGATTGGACAGGTCCCTTTGTGGCGCTGCTGGTGCCGGGCGGCTTTGGCGGGATGGAGCCTCTCCGCTCCGGTGGAGAGTGATGGGTGGGGTGGGATCCTCCTGGAGACTCCCGGCTGGTAGGTTTCTCTGTTCCTGGCGATCCGCTGTTCTGCAATCCGGTACCTGGTGATCTGCAAGCAGCCCCCTGTGTCTCTGTGGCTCCGGCAGCCCCCGCCGGGCTGGGCCGGCTGGCCGGCGGCTTGGCGCACTGCCGCGCGGCCAGTAAAGGTTGGGGGAGGGGTCTTCGCTCTTCTCTGTTCTGAAATTCTTCTTTTCCTCTCTTTCTTTTTTTGTTATTTTCCACCTCTGGTTTTTCTCTGAGTGTTCGTCTTTTTGTTGTTGTCGGTCTCTTGGGGAGATTAAAGGTTGGAACTCGAACTCTCTTTTTGGTTGGAGAGAGCTGTGGCGTTTCCCTACTGCCCCGTCGCCATCTTCTCCTTTTTTCTTCTGTATGTTTTATTAGCATCAATTAGTTGTACAAGGACATCTCATTTTGATATTTTCTTTTTTTTGATGGAAAAACAGTTTATTTCAAAATTAATTTAGGAATAGAAAACATCTTGGAAGGGGGATAAAACCAGAAAAAACACCAAGTATTTAGATGAATGTTTACTTCGCGAGCTTCTCGAACCCTCACTCACTCACCCACAATGATGTTATTAATAGGGATATGGATCAATTTTACGAAGAAGCCAATGAAGCCCATTATTGCAAATCCTATTGCTGTTGCCATGGCAATCTTCTGGAATTCTTTTCTATTGGGTTTGGTGCATCTTTTTTTTTTTTGGGGGGGGTCTGGTCATGGGGCCTGAACTCTGGGTCTGGGCGCTGTCCCTCAGCTCTTCAGCTCAAGGCTAGAGCTCTACCACTTGAGCCACAGCGCCACTTCTGGCTTTTTTCTTTTTTGTTTATTTGGTGCTGAGGAATCGAACCCAGGGCCTCATGCATGCAAGGCAAGTGCTCTACCACTAAGCCATCTTCCCAGCCCCTGGTGCATCTTTTAACCAGTCCAATTGAATCCTTTACAAACTGCCGACTTGGCTCAACAAACTGCATTACCTGATCCATGATTACCGGGCGGCTACTCCTCATGCCAGTGACACGTCGCACTAGAGCTGCCGGCCTGATATTTTCATATATATATATATCTTGATTAGTCTCTTTCATTTCCCCCCCCCCCCTTCTCCTGGCCTTTTTTTTTTTTTTTGGTCTGTCAAGTTGTGGGGCTTGAACTCTGGGCCTGGGTGCTGTCCCTTAGCTCTTCAGCTCAAGGCTAGCACTCTACTACTTGAGCCACAGTTCCACTTACCATTTTCTGGTAGTTAATTGATTGGAGATAAGAGTCTCACAGACTTTCCTGCCAGGGCTGGCTTTGAGCCTCGATCCTCAGATCTCAGCCTCCTGAGTAGCTAAGGTTACAGGCATGAGCCACCAGGACCTGGCTTTACTTACTTTTTTTAAAAAGGTCTTAGGTATATGCTTATTTATCCTTCCCACATAGCTAGGATTTGAGGTGCATAACATATCCAGCTGTTAATTAACTGAGGTTGAATTTTTGAGTTTGTGCGTTGGCTGGCCAGGAGCTGTGATCCTTCTGCTCTCAACCTCCTGTATAGCTGGAATAAAAGGCATGCACCATCTTGTTCAGCTATTGGTATGAGTCTCAGGTTTATATACGGGTTGAGCTCAAACCAAGATCCTCCAGATCTTGTCCTCTTAAGTAACTAGAATTATAAGTATAAGCCATTGGCACCTACTTCCACATAGTGTTTTTGTTGGTTAGATCTACAAACTTTTCTTTAACCCTGGATTGTTTTTTGAATATACCAGTTTTCCCATGGTATGTTCTCAGTGTCTGTTGATTTGGGCCATCCAAGGGACAAGATTGCTTTGTGCCATTTTCCTGCTGATCCAGCCTTTGATATATTGTTGCACATAATCCAGTCTTTTTGAATTTCAGTTCAAAATTCTTTTGTTCTTGTTTACTTTAGGTTGTGGTGTCTTGGTAGAAACTTTGATTCTGCAGAAATCTAGAAGAGCATTTCTGCTACTCTGATAGGGAGAAATGAAGCATGACCTGAAACATGAGTTGTTCAAAAGCCCTTTGTCCAGGCAGATAGAGTGTGTCTTAATTATTTTAAGAAACACCTCAGAAAGGATGAGCAGATGCCATTCATGTGGCTTTATTAAGAAGGAAAGTAAAGATCTCAGGTAAGTTTAAAAAAAAAAGAAAAAAAGAAACAAGCCTGGTGCTGGTGGCTCACGCCTGTAATCCTAGCTCCTCAGGAGACTGAGATTTGAAGATCGTGGTTCAAAGCCAGCCTGGGCAGGAAAGTGAGACTCTTACCTCCAGTTAACACCAGAAAACTGGAAGTGGTGCTGTGGCTCAAGTGGTAGAGCACTAGCTTTGAGCTGAAGAGCTGAGGGACAGTGCCCAGGCCCAGAGTTCAAGCCCCACGACCGACAAAAAAAAAAAAAAAAAGAAACACCTCAGAGGAACAGTTGATTAGAGACTAACTTATCAGTGTTGAAAGATCTAACAGGAAATGCTGGTTTTTCTATTCTGAGGTTGTTAAAATGAGCCTAGACTTACTCCATGGCTTAGGAAAGGCCCCCTGGTTTTCTTGATACAGCCCTGATGACTTGATAGGTGTCATCCTATGGCATGGAGGATAGTACCAGGATAGGTCTTTGCCCTGCTGACATTACTCTGAATCAGCACCCTGAAGAATTTCCTTGATGGTAGTGCTGCCACATGTCTAGAAGTCAGGCAGCATTTTCTAACCTAACTGGTTACTCCATTGCTGGGGTTGTCCTCAGAGTGGAGGGCCTGTGTGATTGGGTGACCTGTTGTTGTGACTGGAAGAATAGGTTGATACATTGGCCCTGGATGTGCACTACTGCCTTCCTTCTATGGCTTCCTCATCAGTGGCAGTCAGTGTCTTTGAAGATTAACTATGGAGCATGCATGGAGCAGGCATGTCAGATCTTCTGAGGTGTGGATCTTGACTCACTGGCAGTTTGATCTGAAAAGTGAGTACTTTTCCATTCTAAAACAAAACTGAGTATCAACTCTTGCCGGCACGAGCTAGCTGTCTTACCTTTGACTTTGCTGTGTTGACAAGTCTATTTAAATTGATACGTGTGTAGGCAGGTAGGTAGTGGAGATGGTTAGGGAAGAGCTAAAGCTCTTTTGTAATAGTTCCTGTAGGGAGTACTATGTTTTACCTAAAAGAGAAGTCATTGATTAGCAATTGAAGAAGTGAATGTAGGAAAAAAGAAAATAGTGAAACAGAACAGAAAAATTGAAACCATTAAGTGGCTTTTGAGGGGCCAGAGTGTAGCTCAGTTGTAGAGCACTCATTTAGGATAGTTTATGCCCAGGTTCAATTCACAGCCCTACAAAAGAAGGGAGGGGAATGGAGTAAGACTTCCATCTCTGGCTCATGATACCTTTCACAACTTGAATTCCAATAACTATGATGGAGCAGTGATGATTAGTGAGCTGAAGGAAGCATTTGCCTTTTAATTATTTAGATTCCTACACAAACTCATTTGTGTGCGGACTCATACCTGGGTATCAGCATTGCACAATATTCTTATGCCCCTTTTCAGTAGTAAGGTATAGGACAATGCATTTTCTCACTTACCTCATTTCTTGAGGCTAGATCTTATCAAGAGCTAGGAGGAAGAACCTCTGATGCTGAGTATCTCACTGCTCATTGGAGCTGTGGTTATCATTGAACAAGCCACTATTATTGTGCAGTAAGTTTGGAGGAGGTTACTCTTTTCAGGAGCTGTGACATCTTGTATGGGGATTTTGTGTGTTCTTTGTCACAAATAATAGAATTATTTTCTTTCTTTCTTTTTTTTGGGTCCGGTCGTGGGGCCTGAACTCTGGGCCTGGGCACTGTCCCTCAGCTCTTCAGCTCAAGGCTAGCGCTCTACCACTTGAGCCACAGCGCCACTTCCGGCTTTTTTCTTTTTGCTTATGTGGTGCTGAGGAATCAAACCCAGGGCCTTGAGCATGCAATGCAAGTGCTCTACCACTGAGCCACCTTCCCAGCCCTAGAATTATTTTCTTTGTAGAGATAAATTCATAAATGCCTGTTCTGCCAAAATCAGCATACTGATCAGTATTCATAGTTTGTGCTTGTAGGATCAATATGCCTTTTTCATTATACTGGCAAATACTTTTTTCCTAAAAATGGATAGATGGAAACTAATAACCTTCAATCAGAGTCTGAATGAATAGCTGAGTACTTATGATCATACCTTTTTTGTGTGTGATCTTAACCTTATAGTCCAATATTAGGTTATCAGAGCAGAGGAGGTAGCTAGTGATAGTTTGTTTGTTTTTCATGAACAAGGTCCCAGGTTTAGGTTGCCAGCCACGTCCCCCAACCCCCATAACAGAAGAAAGCAGTTAATGGTATGAGCAGTCCATCTCTGAAACTTAAAAGGTAAAATTTAAAGCAATTTTTTGATATATAAGCGTTTGAACTCGAGGCCTCCTTATACTTGCTAGATAGGCATTTCTACTACTTGAGCTATGCCCTCTGTCCTTTTTTGCTTAAGTTTTTTCAGATAACCTTGTTCTAGCATGGCTGTCCTACCTACAACCTCCTTAGTAGCTTAGATTACAGGTGTATGCCATTCTTACCTCTTTAACTTTTTGCATGGGCTACCCTTGAACTACCATCTTCCTGATCTTTGTCTCTCAAGTTGCTGGAATTATAAGCATGAGCCACCACATCCGACCTTGAACACTCATCTTAAAATTTGAGCTGAAGGTGTTCATTAGGAAACTTTGACTTGACCTTGAAAAGTGTATAGTACTTTAGTTGTTGTATTTTATTATCAATATCTGGAATATTTTACTGAACAATTTGTATTTTACATGTTATTAAAAAAGTGTTCTTTCATCAACTTCATTTATTTGTGTGTATGGTGTGGGTGTATATGGGGGTATTGGGAATTGAATACCATACCCCATTCCAAATTTCATGTGTGGAAACGTATGTGTGTGTACAGAATCTTGTGGCAATATTTAAAGAAATAGGAAAAGCAGCAAGCCTACAGGTAAGTGTAAAAGGTAAGCTGGAAAGTGCCTTTTGTTAGTTGTGGGGCTTGAACTCAGGGCCTGGACACTGTCATGAGCTTTTTTACTCCAGACTAGTACTCTACCACTTTGAGCCACAGTGCCAGTTCGGTTTTCTGTTGGTTAATTGGAGATAAGTCTCATATACTTTCCTACCCGGGCTGACTACAAACTGTGATCCTCAGATCTCAGCCTTCTGAATAGTTAGGATTACAGGGGTGAGCCACTGGTGCTTGACTTGGTTTTGTTTTTACTTTGTTGTTGTATAGTCTATGTACAGAAAAATTCACACAGCTTGGTATTTTTTTTTTTTTTTTTTTGGTCTGCTGTGGGGCTTGAACTCTGGGCTTGAACGCTGTCCCTGCGCTCTTCAGCTCAAGGCAAGGCTCTAACTGCTTGAGCCACAGTACAACTTCCAGTTTTCTAGTGCTTTATTGGACATAAGAGTCTCACAGACTTTCTTGCCTGGGCTGGCTTTGAACTGTGATCCTCAGATCTCAGCCTCCTAAGTAGCTAGGATTATAGGCTTGAGCCACCGGCACCGGGAGGTATTGGGTTTTTTTGTAAGGTGAACATACACTGCAGCCACCAGCCAGATCATGAAACAGCAGGAACTTTCTCTCCAGAATCTTCTTTGGCCCAGATAATAATTACTCTTCCTGACCT